CCCACACCCACCCACACCCACACCCACACCCACACCCACACCCATGAAGTCGACTACAAGTAACACGACAATTACCACAGCTAATGGGCCATCCAATTACATTCGATCACATTCAAGAAATACATCGCCATCATCATCAGCAGAACCAGATATTAAAGACATCTATAATCGATCGAGTTACACGATCAAGTCCATCTTCAACAAACCACCAAGTTTCATCAACACCACGATGACTATTAGAAGAAAGTGGATCCGAAAATCAATCTCAAAGACAAATAAAGAAGTCAAGACCTCACGAAACTACACCATTAGCTCCTCCACAAATATCAACAACAGTTAAACCATTTCATCTACCAACAGCACATCTTAAACGAGCAGTTGCGAATAACCTACCATGCTTCTATATAAAATTTGACAGTCATACAACTCAACGTAGTATACCACCAGCCATGAAAGTAGCAAGATGGATTCGTCAAACAATCCAACAACAATCATCTGAACCAATAGGAGACTTTTCTATACTGATTCCTGTGGGCACAAATCGATATAAATTTGGCGTAACATCAAAAAATGATTTCTTATTACTTTGGAACTGTAAGTGGCCAAATGAAATGGACAACTTTGATGTTGAAATACAACGACCTCGGTCTCTACCTGATTGTTGTGCACTAGTAGTGCGCTAAGCACCAGCTGATCTATCAAATGAATTCGTCTATCGAGAAATTATTAAATCAATAAGCTCAGCAAGTTCCTTCTCAAAAATCAACTACCATCGACCCAGATCAACAAATGATTATAGATTTTGTGTAGCCGATGCAAATGAATATGAAGAAATTTTAAAGATCGGTCGTATAGCAATCGGACATTTACTTCTTCCAATAACTGCATTTCTTCCGGGTGTAAAATTGACTTACTGCTCAAACTGTTGGATGATTGGTCATACTAAACCTGAATGTAAAATCAATCCTCGATGTCGTAAATGCTTAGATGATTGGGAATTTAATCATCACTGCCAAAAGCCAATATTATGTGCTCAATGTGAAGGTCCATATTTATCAACAAGTATCGAATGTCCAGTGGTTTACAATCATCGTATAACATTAAAAGATCAAGTTAGGAAAGCTATTAATGATGGATTAATAAGTCAACCCAGCATCAATCAAAAAAGAGCAGCTGCTCGCTATGTCGAAAATGTAGGATTGGAAACAAAACAAATAAATGGAGCTAAACAAGCATGGGGACGTCAATTAAAATCAACAGATAGGCCACAAATGCAACCTGAAAATGAAAATGATCAATTATGTGAGCTAGTATGTCGAACTAAAGATGTTTTAGATATAATACGTCGCATGGAATTGAAAATGGATAACCAGGTTTTAAAAATTGATATGTTAGAAAGAAGATCTCTATTAAATAAGGAAAGTTTGATTGACCTAGCAAAGATCATTCAACAGCTCATCAATACAACATTAGAAAAGAAAAACAAGCAACAACTGCAAAGCTTAGTACAACAACTGGAAGTATTCAAAAAGAATGTAAGTGAAAAGTTTAATGCTGTTACAAGTGATCAACAACAACAACAACAACAAACACCAACATCTCCGTCCTTACAACCCAACAGTAACAAAATACAAACTAAGTCAACAACCTTCAATAACACTGAGAACTACGACAGAATGGAACAAGACTCACTAATAAATAACGTAAATGGGTAGTAATTCTTTGCCATATTCTATGAACATTGATGCAATTCCTTTTGTTCCCAACCCTTATTTCTTTTTTTCTTCTTCCCTTGTTGATGTTGAAAGTGAAGTGATTCGAAAAGTCATAGACTGGGGCTTTCCTTTCAAAGTTGTGCAATATGTTAGCTCGATAATGAGTGAATGGTTCTCAGGTAATACTCTTAATAGAATTCTTAGTTTATGGGAAACGCCAACCAATCATCCTAAATGCCAACAAAATCCATTGAACATACTGAATTATAATGTACAAGGATGGGGAACCCGAGCACTAGAAGCAGTGGAACTTATTTTCAACTCTGACAGCTCTATAGGAATATTCACGGAAGTAGGAGAGTTATGGAAAGATGTTACCATCCCTCATTTTAAGAGCTTCTATCAGAAAGGTACCAATAACAAAGGAGGAGTAGTTGTAGCAGTTGGAAAACATCTCAAAGCAACACGTATTGATACAAATATAGACAACACGGTGATTGTAGATGTAGAAGGACTAACGGAACAAATTAGAATTATTGGAATTTATTGGCCCCAATGTCAGCACAGAAATTTAGAAGAGCTTACATCATTCATAACTGAAAAAACTGTCCTAACTGGAGAATTTAATGCCTCAGCGCAAAAATGGCAAAGCCCGACGACAGATGCTAGAGGTAATCAATTAAAAAAATGGATAGAAAAGAACAATTTGTTGTTCATACCTGGAACGAAGAACTCATCTAAAAGATCAGAGAGACATATTGACCTCATTTTTACAAACATAGAGGACGTTGAAGCGGAAACACTTAACATAGGAACGAGCGACCATTGGCCCATAGTTATGAAAAGTGATCGAATAGGATTTCAAACGAATGATAATTTTCCCGTAGTCAATTGGACAGTATTTCAAATTGTTTTAACACTACTGCAAGACTTTTGGATAAAAGAATCAGAAATACAAGATGCAGAAAATTGGTACTTGAACTACACACGTTTCCTTGCAGCTCTGAAAAATAGAGTAACCAAGTGGAGAAACAGGAATAGGTATCGCCCTTCGTACCACCTTATGTTATAGGTATGTTAAAGCAAGCTCGTCGAGTTGGAAATAAGTACTACCGAGAAAGAAAAACAAATTTCGGCGTAGAAGTAGAAAGAGCTAGATTATTATTAAGAACAATAACCAGACAAGTGAAAAATGAGATGTACAAGTATAAATCGGAACGATGGAACGCCTTCCTATCCACTATTCACGATTCTCACGATAGAAATGGCAAACATTTTTGGTCACATCTATCGAAGATTTACAAACCGAAAACATTACCAATCTCGAAATTAAAAGCAGGTTCGATTACGATTGCTGACCAACAAGAAATGACAAATATGCTTTACAATTATTATAAGAAACAAGCGAATAGCCCTAATATAGATGAAAATGAACAACATGATCAGAAAATTGTATGTGACTATAACAAAATCATGAATAACCTATCCCAATCACCAGATATCAATGTCGAAAAAGTAACATCATCAGAAATAACAAAAATTATTAAAAAATTGAAAAACAAAAAATCATCGGGGTATGATCAGATATCTAACCATATAATCAAACTACTCCCGCCAGCATATGTAGATTGCATAGTTAAATGTTTCACTGTTTGGCTGAGCGAAGGTCGGTACCCGGATTTTTGGAAGCTAGCAAAGATAATTACATTGAACAAAATTAATGCCGGAGTACCCCGAGCTGACCAGACCCGACCAATCTCGCTTTTGGCAACACACTCGAAGTTATTTGAAAAAGTACTTCTGGAAAGAGTAAGCAATTGGGCTGAAGGAGCACAGCTAGTGCCGATTGAACAATCAGATTTCAGACAGGGAGGACTGCTAGCAACCAGAGTTCTCTCAATTTACCAAGAAATCCAAAATAACCTAGCAGCAAACATGCCAACGCTCGCCTTGTACGTAGACTACCGTAAAGCGTATGATATGGTATGGCACGCTGGCCTGTTGGTGAAACTGCACGATCTAGGCATGCCCATAGCACTATTGAAAATGACGGCTTCCTGGTTAGGGAATCGACAAGCTTACATCGTGTTAGGAGACAAAGTATCTGAAAAGTACAAGATTAATATTGGACTGCCACAAGGAAGTAGTCTAAGCCCATTTCTTTTCATAGTCTATCACTGTGATCTAATACAATCTCTCGGTGCCCATTCAGGTCACATGTTTGCTGACGACCTCAGTGTACTCATAAAAGCACCAATTACGAAATCTCTAGCCACAATCGTTAGCTATCTGGAAAAAGAGGGCACAGAAGTGTGCAGTAAAATAGCAGCTTAAGCAAAGAAATGGAAACAACCAATCAACGTACAGAAAACAGTAGGTCAGATTTTCTACAAACAGATCAAACGACCCGAAATAAAGATACATATGGAGGGACATCAACTAGAAATAGTTAACTCATTCAAATATTTAGGATTTACATGGACGAGCAAAATGTCATTGAAACCTACAATCGACCTTTGTCTAGAAAAAGTGGAGAAGGCCTTAATAAAACTGAAGTGCACTGTAAAAAAAATTCGTAGAATAATAAACCCAAAAAGGGTTGATGAAAGTGTAACGTATAATCAACCCTTTTTACCGTATGGAAAATTTTCCTAAACCCTTAAAAAGGGTTTATTAAAGGGTTTAGGAAATTCCTAAACCCTTTCATATACCCTTTCAAAGGGTTTAGGAAAGGGTTTAGGAAGTTCATAAACCCTTTAAGGGTTTATTATACGTTACACTTTCAACAACCCTTTTAAGGGTTTAGGAAAATCATAAACCCTTCGATATACCCTTAGTAAGGGTATATGAAGGGGTTTAGGAAATCAATAAACCCTTACATAAACCCTCAAAATGGTTTATGACGGTCACCAAGTACGGATGGGATTGAGCAAAGGGTTTAGGAAACGTTCATAAACCCATATAAGGGTTTAGCCAAGGGTTTAGGACACACTCATAAACCCATATAAGGGTTTAGGAAATACTCATAAACCCATTATAAGGGTTTAGGAAATGCTCATAAACCCATATAAGGGTTTAGGAAATACTCATAAACCCATATAAGGGTTTAGGAAATTCTCATAGACCCATATAACGGTTTCATTACAAATAGAGACCCGAATGACACACGAGATAAAAAAAGAAAAATAAGTGATCGCATATCTTTGTTGCCGATTGAATTGTTAAAAATTCATTTTCATTTATGATCTGAAGTATTCTCTAAAAAATTCAATGTGAAGAGAACTAAGTGATCATGCTGATTACTAATATGTTATTCTTATTCACTGACAAGTTATCCTTCAAAATCTCTTTGGGATAGTGTGTTTATATTTTTTCGATAGTTCTTTTTGCAATTATAATTTTACTATCATCATCAATATCGTCTATAAGTTTTTTTTTATCAGCTATACATATATGGATAACAGGGCTGCCAACCGTACCCCATTTTGGGGTACAATACCCCA